TATGAAATCGTTCCCATAAATTACAGACAAAAACAATTAAACTCGGTATCTAATTATGGAACCAGATGAATCGAGCGTAAACAATATATCTAACAAAAATATATACTCCATGCATCTTATATGATTTTATGTTTGGATTCTAAGTAGGCATGAACAAACTTACATTCTGAATTAATGGGATTTTACTCGGTTGAAAGAAAACGTGCATCCTAAACCCGAGTATTCCCTTCAAAATGTGAGAAATTTGAAGACATTTAATTACGATGTTGAAACACCAACATAAACTGATGAACTCAATTTTCAAAAAATTCTCACAAACACATGCTTAAAGAATCATTAGTAGGTAGAAAAATGGGTTCCTCATGTTTTTTACTCTGAATTCCTCAACTGTGTAGTATGTTTGACGTTTTAGCTAACGATTATTAGACTTCATAGAGTTAAGTCTATGGTTCCAATTATCTCACAGTAACCAAAATGATTAGAACAATAAAATCATTTAGTTAGCTCATCGGAATTAACTGTACTGCAAAATCTAGTAAATAAATACACAAATAATCATACAGTTAGACGGTGTGATTATTCAGTCGTTTACTACAATGTAAACAGGTCAATTTCTTAGTGTTCTTAAATCGTCAAATTATCAACATCAAAAATGTATAAACAACCTGATCCAACAGGTGATTTTGAGTTAAAGAGAAAAATAACCTTTTCTGTCGAATTAGAGTATAAATTTAGGGAAAATCATTTTCTAGATAAATTGTATAATGTAAAACATTACAGTCAATAAGAAAGATGTCAATCATTAAAATTTTAAACTACTGAATAAATGGTGTCAATAATTCATTTAGAACATGTGGGCGATGATGATTCGGAACAAATCTACAGCTCAACCATTATAATCTAAATTAAATGACTTGGCAGTTTTCTTTCGATGATTACCAGTATTTCATTTAAAATAATGGCAATTGGTGGAGAAATATCAAATGGTCATTAACTATTTCAGTGTGCAGTTTATTTTTGTTTTACAATAATTTATCATATTATACAACAAACGATTAATAAACGAAAAAATGGATAGGCTCTGTTTCATATATCAAGAAATGTTATTCCGGGTTATGGAAAAAGATTTTTAATTGCTCACTAATTATAACTGCAGTACAAGAAAAGTATTTTAAAAATTGGGAATGACCAGTGATTCAAAAGGCAAATCCATAGAACCTCGTTATATTGTATATTGTAAAGTGTAATCTTCCAAGGAGTTAATATTAATGACTCGTCGTGACTCATCGAATATGATGGAAGCAACATGCAACCTATTTTGAAGTTTAGAGTATAATTTTACAGACGAGAAATTATGAACTTGTTAATACTTTAATACTTTGTCGTTTAAGATAGTTATAGGATATTTATGTCCGGCCTAGATACAATCAACCTTGATGTCTAACACTGATCAAAAATGTAGTTTTGACTGTTTTTCAGGAAGGATGTGACAGAAAAAAAACTTGATCCTTCTTTATGAAATTATCCATCTTCAATCTAAGTCATATGCGAAATGGGCATTGCTGTATTAGTCATTCTCCAAATCATAACTTATTACATAACCCTTAAAATTTCCTAATCAATGAATCATAATAAGTACATATGTTCATATAAACTCGATATTAACAACGTTCACTCAATTAACCAAGTAACGCGATATTTAGATAACTAAGGTTTTATTAAAAAATGCCAATTAACTGTATAAAACTATTTGAAAAAATGTATAAACCTGAAGTCAAGGGCATTCATTTAATCAGAAATAAACGTTCTTATTTAACATCAAACCGATAAATATAGCTATACAATGATTAATTTGAAATATATGTTAATATGCAGCTTACTATCTATAAAACATGAATTCATAATAGACCTCGATTTATACACATAGCTGTAAGTATATTTATATGAAAAATAAAAAAATACTAAAATGAAAAATGATGAGAACAACACTGGATTGAAGTGGCTGGATGAAGTACATATATTTGTGGATGAATTCTGTTATTTAATTGAGTTAAATATAATAGTCATGCATTCTCAAAGAGATAAAATAACTACCCACTAATTATCGTTAGTACATTTATAATTTGTTATCTAACATATTGGAATGTTTATATATAGAAATGTTAGTTTTGTTTAGGAGAATAAGTTATACTGTCTATTTTAAAGACTCGGCTATTTGGATGTTTCTGAATATATTATTTATTATTTATTAACCGATCAATATTGACTGAGTAAAACCTAATTATTATTTGGAGAGGTGGCTTCGTGGTTAAGATATTTGACTTTCAGTCAGTCGCGAAGTCCTATATTTAAACCTTGTCCCACCCTAATCGGTTTCGTCAACCAGGTAGTATGACTAGTCCTCACATTTAGAGTGTGATTTATAGTCAAGTATTTGGTGAATGAATCAACCATATTACTGGCATTCGTTTGGCTGTTCTGGTTATTTTGAAGTTTATTATGGAGGCGTTTTAGATTATTATTTTAATGATGGATGGAATGTTTATTGATGGACTACGCACAACGATAACTGGTCACCTGATTGAAGTATTGACGCAAGCACTCATGTAGAGATGAATGTTGATTAATAATATGGTTGACGTGAAAATAAGTTTTTTATTGAATGTAAAATATTTTTGGAAAATATTGGTCATAGAAACAAGGGTGGTAAAAAATTGCTAAACATATTTATAATTTTAAGATACTTATTCAGTATATAGGTCATTTACATAACAATGAAATAAAAACATGATTATAGAGATAATTATCGGTATGCAATTGGGATACATTGTGTGTATTAAGTTTCAAGTTTGAACCAGAAATTTATTTTTAATAGATTACATGATAAGCGCATATGTGTGAATGCTAAATCTTTTAGTTACCGATGACACTTGTTAACCAAATAACAGGCTCCAAATAAAAAAAAGGCTTACTCTTCCACAAAGATACATCTTCAACGAACTTTTAAATTATCTACTAAAAATTAAAGAAAACGAAAGTTGGTTTTAGGACTAAACATTACTTAGCTATTTGCTCCATCCTCATGTTTGTTACATCATATGTTAGTCGATTGAATAATTAAAACAACCAATAAAGGTTTCATATATACATACTTTTTAATTTATTAAATCAGTAAATTAATTCTATTAACATTATGAAGAGATTATGTTCTCAATTTATAAAAAAAACATTTTTGAACATATTTATGTTGATCATAAAAGTTCTATTATTATCGCTTTATTTTAAATTTACTATTTTTCGAATTTGTTTATCAATAGTATGTCACGATATTTAATTTAATGTTCGTCATTATTTGAATTTATTTTTTACTAACTAAGATTATTTTTCAACACAACCATCTCCCTTACTGTATTCACGCAACTCTATTGTATTTGTTAGCTTTTTCTGCATTTAACTACAGTTAATGTTAAATTGTTTTTTTTTCTCGTTTTGAAAACAAATAATGACAAATAGTGATTATCTATCAAAGGCCACATTGTTTTGCATTTGGATTAAACAATTTCTTTTTTTTACATTCTGATTTACTGTTTTTTTAGAATTCATTATCATGGCAAATATATGTAATGAATGACGACAGTACCATATGTTCTTATTTTATTGCATCATGTGTTTTTTATTTTCTGTTTATTCCATCTCTAAAATTTCGTTATTTTGTCTATAGTTTTCGCGCTCTCTTTCCCTGCCTCTCTCTCTCCCTCTCTTTTTATAGACTCAAAATCTCTATATTGTTGATTGCATATAATTTCTATGTTCCTTGATATTTTCCAGTTGTTTTCGGTAGACTGTGCTGCTTTAAAATCAATTCTATGTGTATGTATGTGTTTGAATGAATTATTTTTTGTTTACCGGTCTTGATCTTGACCAGATAGGGGTAAATATTTTTATTAATAATAGTACACATAAGCGTAAATACTACGTCAAACCGTTTCTGTATACAAAATACTGGAATTTTTGTCTATAGATTTATAACATACATAATTTTATTAATGAATGTATTATTTATTCAGTTAATGATCAACGTTAGTAATTCGACTTTGTGAATGGGTTGCGTTTAATACTGTACAACATTTTACTGGTTCAACGTAGTTAGAAATAATTTCACTTACCTATTAAGTGTATCATGGACTCAATATTTAACTTTGTTAATTAAAATCCTATTTTCAACTGATAAGATTTCATACATCAAATAGTTTGTTTATTTATGTAAATTGGCAAACATTTTATATGCTAAATTTTTATCCATGACGAATGGAATGTAGTCAGTGTTGTTGATATGTCTGAAGCATTTATTAATTTTGTTGTCAGATTCGTGGTTTATTACTAACCATTACAGATCATGATTATTTATACCGATATCAGATGAAAATTGTCAGTCTCTGGAAATCTCCGGAACGTCTTGAAAATTCAGTATTAAGCGCAAATATTTCCTGGTCTTATTCCTGTGCAAATAAACTGTCGCCTGTCTAAACGGAGTGTAATCGTGGTTCCTTCTTTATATACTTGTGTCTTAACAGGATAGTAGTATTCTCACTAATTTACATCACATTACGTTACCTACTGTTCACCTGAGCTTTGTTCTTATCTCGCTTAGTTTACACATAAGCACGAAAAATAAAATGAAAGTTATGTCACATTTAAAATTAGTACCTCGCATTTTGATCAGCAGTGTTATATTTTCTAGTCCTTTTCAGTTTCTTAAACATGTGAAGTTATCCGTCATATACCAAGCTGACCTAATCAAGTCAACAGTTGGATAGGTGTAAACATTGTACAGTCTAACATAAACGTCTCAGGTGTATTTTATTTATTATTAATTAGTTATTTAATGAATATCGTCAAACTTATCTCTATAAATTTATCATTTGATAAATTCATTATCAATAAATTATCTTATATTTCGTTTATTTGTTTTTATTCTATTCGAATTCTGTTTTTCAAAGTACGTATTATGTTGGAATAGTTCAAATTTATGTATAAGAAATAAATTTTCAAAACATGAAGATTTCACTTTAGATATCGGCTGTAGTTCGCCGTCGTCATCATCATCGTCCCCATTACCGTTTTTAAATAATCATATAAATTGCAAACAAACCAATAACTTTTCTTTTAATCCTAATCATAACATTAACAACAGAACTGATATTGGATATTGTAATGCAAACGAAATATTGTTACACAATAACAATGATTCAAATAATAACCCTTGCAATAATGGAGGCGGCAGTGAAGCTGATTCTTCATTTAAACCAAATCGAGCAAATGATGTAAATCTTCGTATATATTTATTACAACCTATTCATTTATCAAATATTAACAATAATATGCATAATTATGTCAATAAAGAAAATCATGAATCATGTTTTACTGATGGTAACCATGTTATTAATTGTAGTAAAATCCATAATTCAGATCGTAATAATAACAATACTATGAATGGTAATAATATTAGTTATAATAAAAACAAGAATAACGATTATGATTTCACTAGGAATTCATCATTTTCAATAAATGATGAAAATAGAAATAATACTGTACAGAAAAATAATACATTGGTAAAATTTATCAATAAAAATAATAATTCATGTTGCACAGGCTTATCAAATTCATGTAAAACATGTCATTCAACAAAAAATCTACAATTTATAGATATTGCTAATGAGTAAGTAAATTTCGTTTTAGTTTATTTTTAAGTCCTTTTATTCAATAAATTATATATATAATGGTGAAACTATAATTTATGGACGAATCAATCAGATTTACGATAACAGGTCTTAGATTTCGACGCGAAATTCTTTATCCATTTGACTAAATAGCATTTTGGCATTTTAGTTTATGTCAGTTCGTGATAAAAACCCTAAATCTAATTCCTAACCCTAAACATCAACTGCAAATCATAATTGCAATTCCTCACAGTGGTTTATAATCCTCATTTGGCCCTAGTATGTTGGTGGACATTCCCAAGGTCACTTCAGCCTCGCTCAAATGTCGTCCACAATTTATTGTCTCACCTATAAAATATATTTGTACTGAAAATTTGAATGTACGTATTTCAGTGCTAAATTTTATTACTGAAGTTGATTATTGTTCACAATTGAAATACAAGTCAAATAAACATTATTGACTGAGATTTATGTAACAAAGGTCTTACTTTGTTACAAGAGGAATATGTCTGTGATAGGGATTTTGATTTTGAACAAGTGAATTAGTTCGTCAATTAGGTTATTGTTTTTTTGTATAGGTTTTTGATACCCAAGTGTTTTCAAAGTATTGCTAGCATTTCTTGAGTTGATCAAGTGAACAATGTTAAGGTTAGATACAGAATACTACGTTAATATGACAAACCAGTTGATGAAGTTGTAGATCTTCATTGATTGAGAGCGGTTCTTGCATGTGTCGCATATGTCTAGCTGCAACTTACCTCGATAAGTGGATATGTGCTTGTATATAATTAGATTGGATGAAGGCTGACCAAAGCTTGAGATCATTGGTAAATACTTCTGAAGAACGCAGCTAACACATCACAAACGTCTCTGAAACACGCATACAGGATCCAAGAATGGTAATTCATTTGACCTCACCTAGTCAATACAGAGAACTGACTGGATTCACCTTCTATGGAGGCTTGACTGAAATAGTATACATCTAGAGTAGTTAAGTGTTAAGCAATTATTTTCATAAGTTAAATCAGTCGACTCATAAAGAGAGACTAGATTGATATTGTTTATTGATTTGGTCTACTACATCCCTTTCTCTATTTTACCTTAGATTAATTCTTTATATTAAGTTTCTCTACTTCTATTCACTATTAAAATGTCAACTTAATTTTTTATAATTTGAAGGTGTGATTTGTATCCTTCATGTTTGTAGGGTTGACTAACTATTAAAAATCAGAGGTCATCAAAAAGTTGTTTCATTATTCTAGTTAAGGACATTTTAATAAACCAGATATTCTATGGTCTTGCATCAAATTAAATTTATGAGTTTGTGTTTTCATATCGAGTACAGATTACCATTTAGTCGAACTAGTAAGTCTGTAATAGTGTACATCTTTCGAATTTAGTCAGAATTCAGTTTAACTCTATTTTCGTTCAGTGTTATAAGTGAGTTTATTGACTCATATCCATATCCTCCCACCATAAAACATCAAGAAATCCATCATAATCATTGAATGAGATAGTTTTGTAAAAATCGTTTATTTTGTATAGATTTTTTATTACAGAATATCTGTAATTTCGTAGTGACCATTAGAAATAGATGTAATTTAGCGGACTGTTTCATTCTAGTTTCAAAGTTATACACATATGATATTGCTTTTCTCATAAGCATTTTTTTCGAATTTTTAATTACTAATCTTGTAAATCGTTTTTCTTAAATTTTCTCTTTATGTTTAGTTTCTTAACCCAGTCGGGTTATACAAAAGTCGACCTTTTAAATAAATGTTTATTCGATCTGATACACATCGATGATTTGGTGCATATATCTGAAGCTATAAATATAGGTTAGTTGACTGGTTTAATAATCAAGTCGATAAAAATATTTGCAGTGTTATCTATGCTATCATAACAATGTAAATGTTTGTATTCCATTTTAAAGTGATGATATTCGTTGTGCATTGTTTATTTTTCTTGGTCTTTATGAAATGGGAAATGGTATTTTGAATACATGTCAGTTTTTACAATAAAGTGAGATTTTCAATTCTCTATTCTTTCGTTAATCTAACGTAAACGTGTGATGTAACTTTACTGAAAATTAATGTAAATTTCAACGTAGTGAAATTATAGTTATCATTACGGTTGGACTTATAATTCATTCATTCATCCTATTCATTTTGTAATACTTAAACAGGATTTAGTATATAAACTGACATAACAGCTCGTCTTAGGCAATACTTTTTAACAGCGTTGTATAGATCACATTAGTATTTAATGAAAGATAGTGTTATTACACATTCATCCTACTATTTTTCTGATTTTGTTTGAATATTGGTCTCATTTATGTTGACTACTATAGTAGATTCTAGTGTTATATATTTGGCGCATCAAAAACGACCTATTGGGGTCAGGGATTGATGATTAGATTGACTGATTGCTTGTGCAGATTGTTCGATCACATCTTCGTTTAAATCGCTATTACAATATGAATACCAGAATGTCGATTCTTCACATTTTTATAATTTACAAACAAAAGCTAATGGCCTTGCTAATTGATAATTATAGCGAGACAAATTGTCATGTCTCATAAGTCATTAATAATTAACGCTTCTTATCTGTTATTATATTTTCGCGCCGGTAAATTCTCATTATTAAACCGTCAATCAGAATGTAATTGATGAGTGGTCACAAGTCCTTTATAATGTTGATTTATTACTCATGTGATTGTACACACGTGAACTACGAGATTGCAATACACACTAGTTCGTAAGGCTCTCTAAGCTTACGATTACTGTATATGTATTTGTAAAATCGTTTATTCAAGTACTGGTATACTCTATTCAGTATAATTAATGACCATCAAATTACTAGGTTTATTTACAACTTTCTCTGCGTGTAATTGAATAAGTTGGGTTTTTTGATGAAATTATTCATATATATATATATATATATATATATATATATATATATATATATATATATATATATATATATATTAAAAATGTACAATATATCAAATAACCAGTGCTATCCAATATTGAATTCTATTCATTCAAACTTCCAGTTATCCGTGACAGCTTAAAATTCCTTTTTTCAATTGTATAATCTTACCTAATGATAAACCACAAAATGGATTCTCAGCAAAGTATTCTTGATCTAGGTTAGCTCGTTCGCGTCATCTGAATTTTCGGTAATCAATCTCCTACTAGGACGTTCACTTATTGACTTAGAATATGCAAATGACATAGTTCTGTTTAGTGAAGATACTGATAAAGTTCAGCTTTTTGCTAGCACTAAATAACAATACCTGGATGTTTTAGATGCGTTTATCCTCCTCAAAATGTGAGTTTTTGCTTCAGGACTGGCCTGCATCAACACCTTAACTAACGATAGGGAGTAAAGTAGTCGAATGCGTCGACAACTCCACTTATATTGGAAGTCTGATCAGCCATAATAGGTTGGTGTCTGACGAAATCTCAGCAAGTATTCAAAAATCTCGTTTGGCTTTTGTCAACTTACGTCACCTTTGGCGTTGGCGAGTTATCCGTCTATCAATTAAGGGACGAATATACTGCTCAGCAGTCCGTTTTGTTTTACCTTACGGCTGCGAAACGTGATCATCAAGGGTAGATGGTATTCGTAAGTTACTGGTATTTAATCACAGATATCTTAGAAATATTGCTAGTTTTTACCTTCTCTTCCTTCTCTATTAAGTAAACGGTTATCTTTAGCTTTTATTCTGTAGATTATTACTGATTACTTCCAATACTTATTACTCAACGTAAGCTCTTCATGATTTCTGATTACTTTGCTAAATAATGCAACCCCTTTTTCACTTGATACTTAAAAACTTTAATTACTCCGGAATAATGCCCTTCCATTTATAAATTATTATTTTCAATACTTGGAATCTTTTGATAATCCGGACTATATTATGCAACACCACTTCATTTTCATTCACTTTCATTTGAATAAATGTGACTATCTTTGGTAATTTTGTAAAATTTCTCTATTTTTCCATAGATTACTACACATAAAAAATTAATGATAAGTACCATTGTACAACTTCAATAAATGATATCGTCAAAAACAAAATTTTCTTTACTGAAGCATCTTCATTCTTTTAGATGATTAGCATCTGTTCTACATAAGTATTGCTTTAACATACTGTTTATCATTCAAAACAATTGTGAATAATATAATTTGAACTTTATTCCATATTAGAATCTGTTTTTTTCTTTTATCTCGTGTTCTTTTGCACAATGAAACATGTTGTACCTTAGTAATTTTGTTTATTCGATATAATTATAACTTTATTAGCTATTTCATAAGTTTTATAAAAAAAATTTATGTACTCGAAAATGATGTACAATAATTCTTTAACATTATGAAGTGATGTAATTGTTGAAGATTATTTCAAATCATGTTCAGATTTTTTTATTCAAATTTCTATTCGAATCATACTGTGACATTTTGAAGACTGAACTTTTGACCTTTAATTAAATGCTAATAATTAATATATTGTAGCCATTAGTTTGGTTCGTGACTTTGTCGTTATCTTAATAATCATAAATTATAGTTGGTTAGGATTTTCTAATGTTTAATCTCTGTAATATAGGTTGTGTAATTTGTCTTCTTACTGTCAGTTAGGTTGCATAACATTTTCGCTGAATATTTGTATGCATAACAACACAACAATTTCATTGCGACATTGATCAGAAAACAAGAACTATTATCAGTGAAAAGATTCTCCTTTCGACAATATTTACTGAAATCCTACAATCATATATATATGGGGAAATATTGAGTAGGAAAAGGTTGTTTCTAAATAAAAATGTGTGACGCAGCCACACCCTATTTTACAATACAATATATTGTAAATAAATATACATGCGATTGTAGAGCTTCAGTAAATATAGTCGAAAGTAAAATATCTTCATTGACAATAGTCCTAGTTTTTCTATCAATGTCTCATTGGAATCGCTGTTTTTATACACATTTATATTGAGAAAATATATTATTTATTTATAGTGATCAGCATTATTTTGACACTTGTCTCTTGAAAAGATTCGCCTCTATTGATAATATCAGTATGACATATAATTCAAGTTATATACAATAACAACTGCTCTATTTTTTAATAATGTATGTCACATTAATTCACTACAGTGGATATTTTTCTTGTTAGGTTTAATGGGAATTCCTGCGAACAACCAATGTGTGTTACACTAGTATCAGAGGAAAAACAATTTTGTTTTTAATGCCGAATTGTTTGTCTGAAGTGAATCTGTATATCATTTCTTTCATTTCATCTAAATAAATAATATTTTGATTATTTTGCCATACACCAAGTATGATTGAAAAACCGAATAGTTCATGATCAATCTAGTTTACTTCATAACAAATTTCTGTTAAAAAGAAAAGGTAGAGATCATATTATAAGTAGTGTTATCTTAAAAATAAGCATGGGAGGAATAAAGATTTGTAATAGCCTGCTAGTTATATATATATATATATATATATATATATATATATATATATATAGAGAGAGAGAGAGAGAGAGAGAGAGAGAGAGAGGACAGGAATGTTCTTGAGATTCAAGAAATTTTTAGATAATATACAGAAATTGTTATCAATAACTGTCTAATCAGGACCATAAAACGTGATCCATTGTCTTTTAGAATTGCTTCGTGAGCTTTTAAAGAATTCCAATTGGTAGAAATACTCTCAGTATTTTCCTTTATTTTCTCATTCTCTCTCTCTCTCTAGTGTGTCAATCAAATTAATATCACATTTTCTATTACACAATCATCTTTAAGATTTATTAAATTTCGAAATTTTACCGTTTCTTTTGTTTAAGTTAAAGAATTTATCATGTTTTTATACTCGCTCATATCGAGCAAATTATAAGTGATATTAATACTTATCATTAGATATGTGTTTTATTTGTTTAAATGTTATGAAATATTTTGTTTTGATATAAAATTGTTAAAGCGTCATAAAAATTTGACAATCAAAAGTTACTAACATGTTGATTTTTATAAGAATGCTTGCAGTCGTGGTTCAGTGAATTATTATTCTCAATAGAAGGATTCAATCAACAAAGCTGATGTTAATAAACGTTAAAGATAATCTCAGTTATTGAATTTTAAATAATTTTAACGTTTCGCCCGTCAAACTGGTTCGAGCTTCTTCGATGGGAAGAGCTGACTGTTTTAAATGTAATTCTTACGTTTTAATGTCTTTTATATGAAAATTTCTGTCAAGCTCTTTGTTCAAATTTTGAACAATGTTTTAATAAAATATGTATCCCGATTTTTTTTAAAAACGATATGATGAGGCTACTTTGTGTACGTTAAAGTTAATGAAGTAGATCGAAGGTAATTTTAAAGTAGGATAGATTAATGTATCAGTAAGCGTCATAAATAAACCCTTCATTAAATGAAGAGATTTTAACTAACACCAGTAAACTAGGTTACTTTTCCAATTGGTATTTACTCGTTGAGGTGTTTGTACTTGTCTCTAGGTTTCAGTACTCTTTACTACTTCACTTAATGATTTCTTAAATTTACAGTTTGAATGTTTGTATATATTTAGATTGATTGAAATGACAGGATATTTTTGTTTAGTTCAAATAGATGCCCTTGGTGTTATCGGATTCTCTGAATTGAATCATTCAATTCCGTACCGTTCATTTCTCTTTTGTGTACACTAACCTAAACACTATCAACCTGTTAGGTTTTAAACAGTACTAACGAGATTTATCAAGAAGTTTGTTCATTCGATTCAAAATAATTCATCAGTATACACTATTTAGTGAGAAAACATAGACCCTTACACATATTGA